GAGCGGCCGACCCAGGTGGCCCCCACCTAACCACCCAAGCCACCCAACCCATCCACCCCAACCACCCCACCCTCCCCACCCACCCACCCCGGGGGGGTTCCAGCGCCAGCCTCCGGCTTTGAAGCCTGCGGTTGCCAAAGCCCGCGGTGGCCTCCGCCCGGCGGGGTTTCCCCCCCCCCCCCGGTCCCCATCCCGGATTTCCCCCCCCCCCCCCCCCCCGGCAGCCTGGGGCGGCGCCTTCCTCGGCCTGGCGGCTAGCGGGCTCGGCGCGAGCCAGGCGGGCGCGCTGCAGGGCCTCGCTTCGCCGCTCGGGCAGTCCCAGCCCATCGACGTGCCAGAGGTATCTTCGCAGCTCGAGGTCTTCGGCGGCTTCGACGGCATGGACAGCTCCGTCGGCTGACGGGGCGCGGGGGAGTTGGCGCCCGCTCAGGGTCGAGACGCGCCTGCACTGCCGTCTCGGGAGTGGTTTGGCGCTCGCATGTGCGCATCGCGTCGGGAGTAGCATATGTGTGTGCACTGGTTGACGGGGGACGGACTACGTCGTGAGGACGGATGAGAGCCAGCGAGAGGTGGAGGTTTTATTGCAACGGATCGCTCGGTCGTGTGTGTGCGCTGTTGTTGTGTGCGCTCATTTTTGCCTGAGAACGATCGGGAATGAAGTCGATGTGTGGCTCTCCCCCCGCGCGCCCCGCCCCCGGCCCTGCGCCTGCCCGCGGCTGGGCCCGCGCGCGCGGCGCGCCGCCGCCGCCGGCCGCGGGCAGAGCGCGCAACTGGAAGAGCCGCGCAACGCGCAAGCCCTCCACTGGCACTGTGCAGTGGCCAGCGGCAGCGCCCCTCTCCCGCGCGCTCGAGCGTCCCGTCCCAATGCGGGCCTCAAGCCTGACGCACAGGGGCTGAGGGCGGTAGTCTCTCGCGCCCCCGTCATCGCGTCATACCACATACGACATCTGGGCAGACGGGTCCCAGAGAGTCGTGTATGCCGCCGCTGCCGGGTGTGCGCACATCCACATGCGTCATGGCGCGACTGGGACTGCCGGGAGGACGTGGGAGGGAGTCAGAGGAGGAGAGTGTTGCCACCAGTCCGCCACACCGACGTGGCACATGCCAGACGACAGCACGACAGGGTCGTCACGATCTCTTCTGGCTCCTCCGGGAAGGCTATTCCGACAGCTCTACCCGACGGGAGTGAGGAGTGGGTCACCGAGCCCAGGCAGACACAGGCTTGCCCAAGCCGCGTCACGGCTCTGCACGGGAGGCCGCTAGTGTCACCGCTGCCACGCCAGCGGGGTCCTGCCTCCTCCTCCTCCTCCTCCTCCTCCTCCTCCTCCTCCTCCTCCTCCTCCTCCTCCTCCTCCTCCTCCTCTGGGAGTTGTGCTGCACCTCGCCTTCAGTGAAATCCAGAGTAGAGGCGGTAGGTCTCCCGGTTGGTGAGGCCGGTGACGCCGGGCAGGTAGCCCTTCGGCGCCGGCATCTCCCGCGCCCCGAGGCCGATGGCGGCGCCGTCGAGATTGCCCGCCTCGGCAGCGGCGATC